GGGGGGTACCGTTCTGTGACCAGAGGCAGTGGTAGGGAGAAGGGAACAAGAAACTCCACTCCAGAATTGAGTGAATTTAAAGCAGAAGCGACATTTTGGTGTCAAAGTTGAGTCAGCCTCACGTTTACTCAACTCGGTTTTGTGGAACCACTTGACCTAACTTTATTAAGTAACTTCAACAAATCTTTATAAGATTTTTCTTTGAGTGCAAAAAAATCTCTAATTCACATAAATGAAGTTGAGTATAACTAAAGTCGTATTCTTTTGTCCAACTTCGCAAATGGATTCAAATGGTAAGTTAAAAAATGTGTCTGCCATGTAAAACTGTTTTAATGGATTTTAGTCACAAAAAGATCTTACTATAAAGTTCTTATTAAAAATTATGTAAATGCGACAATAAAACTTGCATTATCTCAGTTTCACCTTCACTTTCCTCTTGACCTTTTTATTGTTTAGCGGAGGAAAAATATTTTTGTTTTTGTTCAGTTTAGAGGAACTTTCTATCAAATATTAATGTGTGACACACATGGATACATTACAAACCTCAGACAAGTGTCATTTCCATGTTCACTAAATGCATCATTAACTTTGGTCACACAATTTTCAAAATTGTTTAGTGGCTGTTTACWCAATACTTCTACCCTCTGATATACAGTACATAACCAGCAAAATAAAACTTTTTTCATGTTTTTGATCCATTAAAATGTGATATCTCTGTACATTTAACAAACATATATGCTTAATCAAGTCTTTATTAATGTAACTTTTCACATCAGTAAGTTATCAGTMACTACTATATTGTTGATTTTAAACCTACAGCACACAAAACACATTTGAACAAATAYGGTTGTGCTCATTGTTTTTAGAGTTTAGCTAAATATTTCGTTTTGAAATTTTGAGTTTGATGTGCTTGCCCTTTTAAACCAGGCAGAATTTCCCAAAGGACTCATTTTCAAATGTATTTAGACATGTTGCCCCTGTAAAACAAAGACTGTGTTAATGTGTAAATATGTATTAGAAATAATCAACCAAAAAAAAAGAAAGAAAACCTAACCCTTATTAATGTGTGAAACAATTGAGAACTTTGATCTATGGATTTTTTTATTTATTTTTTTTTTTTTTTTGCTTTACCTCTGAAGGTTTGTTACACTTCCACTAAACCTCAAACCTTGTTTTGGTTGATATTTTATTAAAATTAACCCTCAAAGCCTTCTAGTTTGCACAATTAGAGGTCTTGCTTGTTTTAACACTTGACAACTTTTAGGACTCATTCATTTTATTTGCTGCATTGTTTATTAGATATATCATTAAGCTTCACTTGCATTCTTTTAACATATATTGAGTTGTAAACATAAAATGTGTCAAATAAATCAGCTAAACATTTCCTGCATGTGAGTAAAGCTCTGATGTGATAAAGATGCTGAGGCTGACTTATAACAGTGCAGTCACACKAACATTACTCTAACTCCTCCCCCTCGAGCTGGCTGCCTAATTCCTGTGAGGGGATGCTCGGGTAATGGCCCGGTGAAGTTGTTGGTTGCAGTCTGGGGGCAGAAAGTTTGGATGTGATATCTCAGCTCCACTTGTGCTCTCGTGCAACCTGCTGGCTTCGCTACAGACCCTAATCCGTGCAACTTCACAGCTGTGATGAAGGAAGACGTGTCTCAGACAGCTTGATAAATCAGCAGGACTTATGAATAAAAACACACCACCCACAACGGGGACAGAGAGACACAGAACACACCCTTGCATTCGGTAAGTTGGAGCTTTGATAACTTTTATTGTAAAAGACTTGTCAACCCATTATAGTTTATTTATCCAGATTGTGAACTTTGGTTAAAAAAAAGAAAAAAATTTAGTTGCATATGTCACTTGTTTGGGTTATATTACTTGAGACTACACAATGCTCAAAGCGTGCTCTGTGCTGCGTTTTGTCATGGAAAGCCACTGGTTTAAATCCCCAGTGAAGTTATAAATGTTTTGCCCAGAGGCAGCTGTTCTGATGGGGTTCAGCACATTTCCAGCCACATGCACACACACCAAGAATACATAAGTAGGCTAATCACTTTTCTCATTGTTCTTTTCGCCAGGAGGTTCCTGTCCTGGTCTAAGAGTCAGAGCATAATGGCTGCTTTTAAAGGGATCTGGACCAAGAAGTTCTGGAGGGCYGTGTCAGGAGAATACCTGTCCACTGTCATCTTTGTCCTCCTGAGTCTGGGCTCGACCATCAACTGGGCAGCGGAGGAGGAGAAACCTCCCCCAGCTAACGTGGTCCTCATCGCCCTGTGCTTCGGCCTCAGCATTGCCACCATGGTGCAGTGTTTCGGCCACATCAGCGGCGGACACATCAACCCGGCCGTCACTGTGGCCATGGTCGTAACTAGAAAGCTGAGCCTGGCCAAAGCCCTGTTCTATGTGCTGGCTCAGTGCCTGGGTGCGATTACCGGAGCCGGGATTCTCTACTTAGTGACGCCTGCTGCCGTTCGAGGATCTCTGGGCGTGACAATGGTATCTTTATTCTTATCTGTGTGTGCAGTGAATCGTTAACGAGCTTTCCTATTAATCCCAAAGCAAATATTCTGTTTTCAAAAGGTGAACTCCAAGATCACATTGGGGCACGCCCTTCTTATTGAGCTTCTCATCACATTTGAGCTGGTCTTCACCATCTTTGCAACCTGTGATTCCAAACGTGCAGACCTGGGCGGCTCTGCGAGCCTGGCCATTGGCTTTGCTGTAGCCATAGGTCACTTATTTGCAGTAAGTAGCCTCTATGACAGGGGTGTCCTATCCTGGTCCTTGAGGTCCACTGTCCTGCATGTTTTAGACATGTCATTGCTCCAGCACATGGTTTGATTAATCACCGTATCAGGTGCGTTGGAGCAGGGAAACAAGTAAGACATGCAGCATGAGCTGAATGGCGTTGATGCACTCAAACGACAGCTTTATCACAGAAATCCCAAGAAAATCCAGTACTGTATATGACTCAAAACCTTCCACGAGCCCATTTATACATCGCCTGACTCCTTCAGCAGTGGAATACAGATTAAAAATTGATCAGACGGTCTTATAGCGATGCGTCTACCATTAAAGAACTGCAGACAAAGGCTCGCTCTGAAATGAAAGGTAACAATTTTTAATCTGTGATTCACACACCCATGAGTGCAGGTCTTCACCGGAGGCTGCCATCTCATGGCAACCAATCTCCAGGGGCTTCCTGAACCCTGCAGAACAAACAATTAAATGCACAGAGAAAGCGAGATAATAAGTTGCACAGTTCTCTGAGTCATGCTTCAGCCTGTTTAAGAAATACAGAAAAGACATAATACATCTTMAAAATGTCACATTGTACCAGACCATAACGAGTCAGAAAAGATAAAACCTTTTTAATAGATCTCATATCTGTACAGATGTAACATTTATTCCTTAAAACTACAATAATGCAAATGTTTGTCTTTCAGATTCCTTACACCGGAGCCAGCATGAATCCAGCTCGTTCCTTTGGGCCAGCGATGGTCACACTCAGCTTTGAGAACCACTGGGTAAAACTTACAGAGAAATCTCTACCTTTCATTAGTTTCTAGTACATAAAAAAGTTCAAGCTCTGGTGTGATTTTGCTATGAATATTTATGCCCTTGTGTAACAAACAAACAAGCCAACAAGCTATTAAGTATTCATCATTTTATGTCAATGTGTCCTGAGATGTAATACAGGTGCTGGTCATAAAATTAGAATATCATGAAAAAGTAGATTTATTTCAGTAATTCCATTTAAAAAGTGAAGCTTGTATATTATATTCATACATTACATACAAACTCATATATTTCAAATGTTTATTTAGTTTAATTTTGATGATTACAAATGACAACAAATGAAAATCTCAAATTCAGCATATCAGAAAATTAGAATCTTGTGAAAAGGTTCAAAATGGATGGCACCTGGTACCACACTCTAATCAGCTAATTAACTCAAACCACCTGCAAAGGCCTTTAAATGGTCTTTCAGTCTAGTTCTATAGGCTACACAATCATGGGGAAGACTGCTGACTTGACAGTTGTCCAAAAGACAACCATCGACACCTTGCACAAGGAGGGCAAGACACAAAAGGTCATCGCTAAAGAGGCTGGCTGTTCACAGAGCTCTGTGTCCAAGCACATTAATAGAGAGGCGAAGGGAAGGAAAAGATGTGGTCGAAAAAAAGTGTACAAGCAAGAGAGATAACCGCACCCTGGAGAGGATTGTGAAACAAAACCCATTCAAAAATGTGGGGGAGATTCACAAAGAGTGGACTGCAGCTGGAGTGAGTGCTTCAAGAACCACCACACACAGACGTATGAAAGACATGGTTTCTGCTGTCGCATTCCTTGTGTCAAGCCACTCTTGAACCACAGACAGCGTCAGAAGCGTCTTGCCTGGGCTACAGAGAAACAGGACTGGACTGCTGGTGAGTGGTCCAAAGTCATGTTCTCTGATGAAAGTAAATTTTGCATTTCCTTTGGAAATCAAGGTCCCAGAGTCTGGAGGAAAAGAAGAGAGACACTTCATCCACGTTGCTTGAAGTCCAGTGTAAAGTTTCCACAGTCAGTGATGGTTTGGGGTGCCATGACATCTGCTGGTGTTGGTCCATTGTGTTTTCTGAGGTCCAGGGTCAACGCAGCCACATACCAGGAAGTTTTAGAGCACTTCATGCTTCCTGCTGCTGACCAACTTTTTGGAGATGCAGATTTCATTTTCCAACAGGACTTGGCACCTGCACACAGTGCCAAAGCTACCAGTACCTGGTTGAAGGACCATGGTATCCCTGTTCTTAATTGGCCAGCAAACTCTCCTGACCTTAACCCCAAAGAAAATCTATGGGGTATTGTGAAGAAGAAGATGCAATACACCAGACCCAACAATTCAGAAGAGCTAAAAGCCACTATTAGAGCAACCTGGGCTATCATAACACCTGAGCAGTGCCACAGACTGATCGACTCCATGCCACGCCGCATTGCTGCAGTAATACAGGCCAAAGGAGCCCCAACTAAATACTGAGTGCTGTACATGCTCATACTTTTCATGTTCATACTTTTCAGTTGGCCAACATTTCTATAAATCCTTTGTTTTTATTGGTCTTCAGTAATATTCTAATTTTCTGATATGCTGAATTTGAGATTTTCATTTGTTGTCATTTGTAATCATCAAAATTAAATGAAATAAACATTTGAAATATATGAGTTTGTATGTAATGTATGAATATAATATACAAGTTTCACTTTTTAAATGGAATTACTGAAATAAATCTACTTTTTCATGATATTCTAATTTTATGACCAGCACCTGTATAGTAATTTGAACATTTCACATATTGGACATGTAGCACTAGAATTAATTATTAACTCTACTAAAATCAATAAGCATTACTCATTGATCCATATCAAAACAAAATCAAGATTACAGAACAAATTTCCACTGAGAGTTTATGTGATCCTTAAAGTTACCAGTTCAACAAATCAAATACAAAAAATGTGCTATGTTTTGGTAATAAAAATCTAAAGTTTCAAAAGAAACAGAACATTAGTTTTGATTTTTTGACTTTTTGAATAACTTTTATTGAGTCATGTGCCCACTAACCTGTGGATTCAGTTTAAATTAAAATATATGTTGAAAAGTATGCGTATTGTTATCCACCAGTTTATTTAATACACAAAACAACACAAAAAAATTAATAAATAAAAATAAAAATAAATAAAAATACACAAAACAACACCTGCAAGTTATTTAAAACATTAACGGATTAAGCAAATACAACAGAGCTGACATTTAATGTTAGCATTTTGTGAATTCCAGATTTAAACTGAAATCTTAAACTGAGAAATGAAGAAGTTGTAGCTGTTTTGCTCACAGCTTGAAAACAACATTTTGCACAATCTCATGTGATATCACAACATGTGTTCAAAACATGTGCCGTGAACGTTTATGTTACTTCCACATCCGAGTGTGGCTAAAGTCCTATTTTCTAAGGTTGGTTCACTGTAGCGGCTGTCTTAAATGGGATTGGCTCTAAAAGTTAAATCAGTTCAATAAATTTGTTGAGTTATTCATGAAATATTTTTAACAGACGAACAGCAGTTGRCTTAAAACAGTTAAGTCACGGTCAGTTCTCAGAATATCAGTCTCAGCTACAATCATATCAAATTTTAAGGTAATTTCTGAAAAATCTGAGTCATAGCAATTTTTTGGTGGGGAGATGAGTTGGCTGTGGCAGCCATCTTGAATCACATAATTCATAAGTTAATTTGTTATAGTTGTACATCCAAGGATTGTTTTCTGCAATTTCTTTTTAAAAAGTTGTCAAGTTGTTCACAAGATGGTAAGAAACAGACACGTGCACATGCACAACAAACATGAGCAGAAATATCATGAATCACTGTTGCTTGTTGTCTTTAGGGGACAATAAACTAATGATTCACCAGCTTGTTATTGAAGTTGTCCTTTTCTTCACTGTTTATAAAAAGCTTTACTGGCTGGGTCCCATTCTTGGAGGAGTCTTTGCTGCAGCTTTGTATGAATACCTGTACTGCCCTGACCCTGAGGTAAAGAAGAGGCTGAAACAAGTCTTTAAGAAGGATCCATCGGGGAGGTACAAAGAGGTGGAACCTGAAGAGCCTGTCATCAAACCGGGCTCCATTCATCACATCGATCTGGAGAAAGCAGAAAAAAAAGATCCTTTCCAGGAGTCATCGGCAGAAGTACTGTCCTCTGTATGACTATCGCGCGCACTGGAAATGGAGACCAATTTGTAAGGAGGGACGGCAATCAAATATTGAAGTATCCATCTTGAGCCTGTCCCCTCCAAACCAGAATATGATTTCTTTTCAAAGACAGGGCGAGGCTGTGATGCTTTCATTAAAGCAGTTTTGGTGTTGTGGCTAAATCGCACAAACGTCTGCAGCCCGGTCAATATTCGTCCCGAAGACCCTTCTAAATTATTTCATGGCTGTGTTGTAATGCCATACACATTTCACGCTGACAGCCAGAAATACGTTGTGTTAAGCAAATGTG